TGATCACTTTTAAATAGAGCTAATAAATTGATAGCATGTTATGTACACCAAGACCCACATTAAGCCCATTTGTTAATAAAAAACTTTAATATAAATGACTATCAATTTGATTGAGTGTGTTTGAAAATGATCTGTTAAGGTTAAACGAATATTGAGTGTTAGTGTATCAAATAAAATGCAGATCTTTTTATGCGTAGAGACTACAAGTGTTATTTCTAATTTTATGATGGGTCGAATTAGAAATAATAAAAATTTAAGAATATAAATAGGTGGTTATGATTTCCAAATCACATGTAGGATTTTTCTTATTCTGTCATCCGATCACCATAAAAGAGAGAGTGTATAAAAATTCTAAACGACTACGTATTAATTTAGAAAAATCTATTGTAGGACGTACATAATTTTTCTGGTATAAATTCATGTACGCTTTCGTTTCAAATATAATCTATTTAATTTAATATGAAAATGGTGATATAGATTTAAATATAATTTTATAAAATCCTTATATAGAGGTCTTAAGGAGTAACAAATTTTTTGAACATTTTGGTATTTTACACCCTAAAATTTATATATTCTTGTCAAACCTTAATTTTACATAGTACAACTAAAAATTAAAGGACAACAAAAAAAAAAAAATGTAAGAAAAAAATTCTTAATTTGTCATATGATTTTTGTTATTAATTTTGTTAAAAAAACAACTATAGACAAAAACAAAAGGTGGAATAAAAAGCAAATGAAAGAGAAAAAGGAGACATAAAGTGAATATAAATGATAGAAATTGGAAAGGGAAAAGATAAAAAGAAAGATGGTGCAAAAAAAAAAGAAAATTGAACTCAACCCATTCTTTTCCTTTCCCTCCTTTTAACTTGGGCTAGGCCCAAAAAAGACCTAACCCATTTCTTCCTTTACTTTTTGGTAAAAAGACCAACTCTTCTTCGAGTTGTAAAAGTAAAATATGTTTACCATATCCACAAAAAATATAAGTAATAAGTAATGTAAAGTAAAAAGACTCTTCTATACCCAATGAGAGTCTCTACCTTAGCTAATGCCAACATGGTCTTTTTTTTTTTTTTGAGAAAATAAAAAAGAAAACTATCCTACTCCTCCTCATACATTGCAATTCCAACGACTAAATTATCTTCATATTGAGACAAATGATTTTCTCTCTTAATATTTAAAGAAGATGTTGGAATCTAATATATATTTTTAATTAATTATAAATATTGAGACAAACATTGATTTTTATTTTTTATTTTTAATGCCAACCCTCTTATTTGGTAAATTATGGAATAATAAAATTCAAATTATTATAATAAATTTTATGGGTACCAATTAAATATGGGTCCAGAGGAAATCGAGTAGGAAGAATATGCTGAGAATATCAAAGGGTCCATTCTGCAAGAGAACTGGGACCTCTG